CTAGCATAAGTACAACATTGTTCTGTACATTGTTCAGCATCTTTGTCAACCAATTTCCTCTTGTTTTTCTTATTCCCATAATAATGGTATACATATATATGTACTATATAAATAATGAAGGTAGCTGGGAACCAGCAGTTAGCGTAATGGCTATGTCGCTGGACTCCCATGTAGTCGACCGCGGTTCACGTCCCGGACCCGGTGGCTTAAAACTCACTCCGGGCGCGTGTGCGTGTGTGCCCAAGATCCCAAGAGGAGAATGGGGGAGAAGGGATTGCGGCGTGACCATCCCCCCTGGGGGGTGATTTCTCGCTTTCTATCTCTATGTCTCTCTCTGTCTGGCGAGTGCACGCGCCCTGTAGCGAAAATCTCTCCAAAAAAATAAAAAATAAAAATAATGAAGATAGAGACTTAAGTATTTCATTTCAAGATGCTATCTGAGGAACCAGTAGATGGTGTGGTGGTTAAAGACGTTGGACTCCCACCACAGAGTGGTGGCCAACCACGGTTCAAGTCCCAAAGAAGGTGGTTTGCTTACTCATTTTCCCTCCCTCTCTCTATCTCTGTCTCTCTCTGATCAAACTTGAAAATAATAATCATAAATTAAGTTAAATGCTACCTGAAACATAAAATGAACCTCTTAATTAATTCTTAAACCCTTTGGACTAATTTCACCACAAAAGATGTCACTCAATGAATCATATCATTACTGAACCTAAGGTTAAATTGCTCTTTTGAAATACATAAAGGCAGTAGTTTAAAGAGCTTTACAAAAGTGAAAAAACTAACTGATTTTGCCTCACTCTTCATCCTGAAGAAAAGATCTACCTACCAGTATATCAAGCATTCCATATAGTAAGTCATTTTAATCTATAATAGTTAAAAAGTTTCAAAGGACAATATATTTTAGCATTATATCGTGCACTGCATGTTGTAAGGGCACTTCGATTTCTCTTCATTTCTGGGGAAGATTAATTTTGCCATGGAACATTCTAGACCTGTGCTGCTTGAAAGGAGTCAGTTGCACACCAGCATTTATGGAAGTCCCAGGCTTGAGTGTCAGAGAGCATCCCAGAATGGATGATGCATCATCCCACAACTGCCATCTGTTGAGTGTTTTCCCGACAGCTGTATCTCTTGACCATCACAAGTGTAGATAATCACAAGAGGCACGAAGGAAGTGCACCACTGTCAGACAGCGAGGAAAATTCCATGTTCGCCTGTGAAACAACATTGCTTTTAATTGCACCATAATGATTTTCTAACAGACACAATGGTATGTAGTGTAGTCTTAGAGCTGATTTAAAGCACACAATAAACCACAGTGCAGCTGAAAAGCCAATTGAGACTTCTTAGTGCCAGGAAGGTTTTTGTCCTACGTGAATACTTAAGAGCATTTTTTGCCAGCTACTCTGTCCACAATCTGCTTTTACCAAAAATAACTGCCTCTATCATTGTGCCTGGGCAGTTTTTAAAAGTGATGCACATTTTTATTTCAAATATCAATGAAATTAAACCGTAGTTTACTTTTTTTCTTTTTAAAGAATTATTTATTTATTTTTATTTATTGATTGATTGATTTTAATTTGACCAGAAGAGACACAAAGAGAGAGAGAGAAAGTGAGAAAGCAAGCCACCAGGTCTTCTCTTCATTTCTGGGGAAGATTAATTTTGCCATGGAACATTCTAGACCTGTGCTGCTTGAAAGGAGTCAGTTGCACACCAGCATTTATGGAAGTCCCAGGCTTGAGTGTCAGAGAGCATCCCAGAATGGATGATGCATCATCCCACAACTGCCATCTGTTGAGTGTTTTCCCGACAGCTGTATCTCTTGACCATCACAAGTGTAGATAATCACAAGAGGCACGAAGGAAGTGCACCACTGTCAGACAGCGAGGAAAATTCCATGTTCGCCTGTGAAACAACATTGCTTTTAATTGCACCATAATGATTTTCTAACAGACACAATGGTATGTAGTGTAGTCTTAGAGCTGATTTAAAGCACACAATAAACCACAGTGCAGCTGAAAAGCCAATTGAGACTTCTTAGTGCCAGGAAGGTTTTTGTCCTACGTGAATACTTAAGAGCATTTTTTGCCAGCTACTCTGTCCACAATCTGCTTTTACCAAAAATAACTGCCTCTATCATTGTGCCTGGGCAGTTTTTAAAAGTGATGCACATTTTTATTTCAAATATCAATGAAATTAAACCGTAGTTTACTTTTTTTCTTTTTAAAGAATTATTTATTTATTTTTATTTATTGATTGATTGATTTTAATTTGACCAGAAGAGACACAAAGAGAGAGAGAGAAAGTGAGAAAGCAAGCCACCAGGTCTGGGACTCAAACCGTGGTTGACAATGTGGGAAGGTCCAGCACCTTGGCAGCCATGGCACCTGCTGGTTCCCAACCTTAGTTTACCTTTAATCATCATGCTACGTAATCCTATGATAAGACAAATTCACCTGGCGGGTGATGCTCCAAGATCTCATTCTCCTGACTTGTTCAAACCACTGAACACTTTTATTCTTATCCTTCAGTGTAAAAGTCTCCCCACTCCTTTCTGTTTTTATCTTTTACAAAACATTCTCTAACATAGTAGTTGCAATGGTATTGGGAGAGTGAAACTGGATGGTCAGACATTGATATTCTTGGTTTCTTAATGGGAGCAACTAATGACAACACTAGCAACTACCATTATTTGGGGACCCACTATGGGACAGTCCTTCCTCCTCTTAGTACTTTATAATCTTTGACCTAAGAGATTCCAGTCAAAACGTCACTTTGTGTGAAAGTCTCAGACTCTGTTTCTGGGAATTCGGTTGTCAGAATATGATGGATTGAACAACAGGGGCCTTCTATATCCCCCAGCTCCATTCTACTCTGTAGCAGAAAATAAGAAAGAGGGAAGGAAGGAAGGAAACGTCCATAGAGCAGCACTTTCATAATTTTCACATATTTTATCATTGTTATATGTAATATTTGTTGCAATATATGTTGACCCTTTCATACACATACATACCACACGAAGCAAACGTATATGCGCCCCCACACACTGACACCCTGAGTCATGTGTGTATTCTAAACTATAAACGTCTTCATCTGCTGGCAGTTCTCTCTTAATTGTATTCCAGTTTGTTACTACTACTCTGAAGTATGACAGCAAGAATATATAATAAGCCCAACTTTTAAAAAACAAATAAAGGGCTGGCAGGAGGTATGATGATTAGGGCACTGGACTCTTACATGGCCAACTGCAGTTAGAGTCCCAGACCCGGTGGCTTGCTTTTTCACTTTCTCTCTCTCTCTATTTTTCTGGTAAAATTGAAAATTAATAATAATAACAAATAAAATTAAATAAAAAATTCTAAAAAGTAAATAAAATAAATCTGGACTAAACTTACATTAGGTACACTTAGGCTCATGGTCTATTTTTCAGAGAAAAAATAAAATCTGTCAACAAACCCCATATGCTCATGTAGGAGAGAAAAGGTAGCATCTTTTCCTCATCTGTAGCTGCCACTATTATCACAAAAGACAGATCAACAAGAGAAAAGAATCTGAATGTTTTTCTGCTAATCTGAATTTGGAAAACAAAGGACAAGGAAATATTTACCTTCCATTGTCAACTGGGCACTACAGGCAGAGATCTGAGAGAGCTGACTTTGGAAAAATTCTTACCTTTCTGTCGGCTGACCCAGGACCTCATCTGCAGTGTCCAAAATGAGTGAGGTATCTCAGCCCCTCCCCCCATGCTGGGTACCAGAAACGACAAAGGAGAATAAGTAGTATATTTTTCTTGCTCATTGCAAGGTTTACAGCTGACAATCCCTGTAACAAGACACTAAGAAGAGAAAAGCATGGGACCAGCAGTTAGCGTAATGGCTATGTCGCTGGAGTCCCATGTAGTCGATTAGCAGTTTGTGTCCCGGACCCGGTGGCTTAAAACTCACGCTGGGCGCGTGTGTGTGTGTGTGTGTGTGTGTGTGTGTGCCCAAGATCCCAAGAGGAGAACGGAAGAGAAGGGATTGCGGCATGGCCATCGCCCCTGGGGGATGATTTCTCGCTTTCTATCTCTCTGTCTTTCTCTGTCTTTCTGGTGAGAGCACACGCCCTATAGCAAAAAACTCTCCAAAAAAAAAAGAGAGAGAGAGAGAAAAGCATAACAAATTTATTTAACTGAAGTTTTACGTGGTATGGAAGCTTTAGAAATTAAGACCCAAAGACAGGGAAAATTACTTATTTTGCGGACAAGTTTGATGAGAAATAGACAGTAGGGCAGATGTATGATTGGGCCAAAAGGTGGCAAAATCTAATGATAATTAACTGGATGGTGGGAGGGCACTTAACAAGGCCTATCTTTTTAGATTCTTCTTGGCCTCTGGAACAGAGCAGGATACTTGTTGTTTAAAGTCTTACCCCCTACTTGCAGGGGAGGTAGGGCAGAGAATTTCTTTATGACTGTGTTTAAGGAAAAAAGGTAGAAAAAGACCAGAGAGAATCTTCTTGTTTCTATAGCCCTCTTGATTTCCTTCCATTTTAAATACTCAGTATGGGGATAGCAGCTGGCGTAATGGGTGCATCGCCAGCCTCCCACATAGCCAACCACAGTTCAAGTCCTGGATCTGGTGGCTTAAAACTCATGCCAGCCATGTGTGTGTACATGTGCCCCAAACCCCAAAAGGAGAATGGGGGATGGAGAAGCGATTACGGTGTAGCCATCCGCCATCCCCACTGCGGCGGGGTCGGAGGGGGGTGATTTCTATCTTTCTGTCTCTTTGTTTCCTTAAAAGTAAATTTAGACAAACTAAAATTTAACAATTTATTTAAACAAAGGACGAGCTATTTAAATCAGGCAGCCTCCTGGAAGATGGCTTCTGAGACTACGGCTAGCCCCGGCTTACAGGGACTGTGTGGGCGGAGCGGGAAAACTGACGTGTGCTGTAAAGAAGGAAGAGCGCCGTCAGAGTGTCGTACACAAACGTAAGTGAGGGAGCGAGTGGAGCGGTCCTTGGTTCCAGGTGGAAGGTAGGCTGCATAAACAGCCTAGAAGGTGGGCTTTCTGGACCCACTGAAATGTTACTAGTGTGACTGGCTGTAACTTAGTAACCAGCTCAAAAATACAAAAAAGAAAACCAGCCTAACAGGTACGATTTCGGCTTATTTCTAGGGCTCTATATGTGAGAGTACAGAGGCTATTTTAGGCCAGAATAGTGTAACAGTTTCTGTGTGCACGCATCCTATAGCTCAAACAAACAAACAAAAACCTCCCTCAAAACAAAACAAAGACTCAGTACACCAAGATGCTACATTTTGGGGTATCATGTTCTGAGTCTCCTCGGTGAGAAGCAGTACGTTTTCGAGAAAACAATCTAAATCACCTAACCAGAACCCTACGTAGCACATAAATACGAAATACGTACATGGGCCAGCCCATGGCCTCGTGGTTAAGGCGGTTATATCTCACATGGCCAACTGAGTATTTGAGTTCTAGATGAAGAGCTTGAGAAACACGTGGTGTATATGCACGCATGCCCAAGATCCCAACAGATGGAGAGGGAGAAAAGGGGTTACACGGTGACGGTGGCCTGCGGGAAGTGCTTTCTTACTTCCCTGTCTCTTTATGGGAGCGTACACGCCCACTAACTAATACATATACACACAAACACATATACACACTTTCGAAACTTACTATCTACTTTTGTGAACTATCTACCATGCATCTCAAAACCACCTTTTTCTACAATGACCTGCTCTTCCTAGTAGTGAGCCTTGCCTGTGAACCTGATTTACCAGTTTTATCACTTCACAGTGAATAACTATGGGATATAGTAGTCCATTGTGCTGTTGCCAGGAAGTTCCTGTTACTTTATTTTTTTAAGAAAGATTTTTTGCTAAAATGGATGTGTGTGCTTACCAGAGAGACAGAGAAAGAGAAAGAGTCAGAGAAACATAAAGAAAGAAATCACCTGCCAGGAGGGATGGCCATGCTGCAATCCCTTCTCTCTCATTCTCCTTTGGAGATTTTGGGCACACACACATATGTGCCTGGTGTGAGTTTCAAGTCTCCAGGTTCAGGACTTGAACCTCGGTCAGCCATGTGGGAATCCAGCGATGTAAACATTATGCCATCTGCTGGTCCTGACTGCTAACTTTTTTATCCAGTAGATGTTTGTACCCTAGAGCGAGTCAATAATTCTCATATTGTTACTGAACTCAAATCAGGTTCGCTCACCCAAGTGTTATAAAACCAAACCATAGGCACATGGTGTGATGAAGGAAAGAAAGATTTATTGCAAAGCACAAAGCAAGGAGAGTGGGCAGCTCATGCTGAAAAGACCTGGTCTCCCCAAGATGTTCCCCACATGCGTTTTTAAGGGCAAAATTAGGGACAGAGGTCCCAGGCACATGATCAGTTCAGTGATTGGTTCAAGAGGGCGTGATCATCTTGTGGACATTCTTGATTGGTGAGGCCTTAGATAATCGAATTCCTCTTCAGGTGTCTGGAACCCTTCAGCCTGGAGTCTCTGAGGTCAAAACCAGCAGTTTCCAGTCTACAAAACATCTTACATATTGAAATGAAAACCTTCTTTCCTTTAAGTGAGAGTTTTAGAGGTCAAATGGTCTTCACTCATGGTCCATGTTGGTCCTTATAACCAAAGTCTGAAGACTTAATTCTTACTCTGGGCCATTACAATGTAAATGGACTTTATATTTCAGGAACCCTAGAAAATACATTAAGGGGTTCTTGCTCGGTTTCAATATTTAAGAAAAACTCCATACACAATTCAAGAGGTGTAAAGCACCAGAAAGTTATGAAATGAGGCCTAATCTGTAAAGTTCAGTAATATAGCACGGGAAGAAGAGCATATATATTCCTAAATAGCCTAATTCTGTTTTAGGACTATGTTTTCTCCCTAAAGCAGTGGCCAGGCATGATTCAACCTAGTCTCAGTTTGTTGCTAGTCCCAAGAAACAGGACTCTCTCCTGCTACTTGAAATCTGTTAAAGAGGGCAAGCGCCAAACGTCTACTTCCTTTAGTGTGCCTGAATCTATGCTTAGGGCCTCTTCAATCTTTTCCTTAAAACATTGGTTTCCATACACCAAACAATGCAGACTCTGTGGACTATTTTTCTTGTCCACAATGAAAGGAGACAAATAAGGACTACGAACTCACATGTAAGCAGAATGCTGAGGCACCAAGTGCCTTGCAGGTGCCAGGCAATGCTTTGGGTAGTGGAAGAAAAGAGGAGAACCAAAGGAACACAGAAGGATCTCCTGGACTTTGGATTGTAATGGAAATAGAAAATAAGCACATGAATAATAAATAGCCAGGTAATGAGGAGTACCTGAAAAAAACAAAGCTAGGGGAGGGAATGGAAGGAAGGAGAAGTGTGGAAGGTAAAGCGGGTCAGCAGGGAATCTGGGTAGAGGGGTTTTAAGAGTGTGCTTAGAGAAGCTCTGCCTCTTGTGCTGGCTGTGTGTGAGCCGAGTTCTGTTAGTGTCCAGGAGAATAGACTTCCAGCCAGAGGAATGGTTGGTGCAAAGGCTGTAAGGTGGGAAAGGGCTTAGCATGTTTCAGGAACTGGCCATTTCTCAAGTATTTTGTGGCATGTTAGGGTAAAAGTTGCCAACTCTTGATTCTTGAAAAGACAGTCCTGTGTTCTGAGATTATGGCTTTCCTCCATCCCCTTTCCTGCCCCCACGGATGTTAACATGTCTGTTCTTTTAAGAAATGATGTAAGATTTCAGTGTTAGCTGTTTTCCCCCCTTTTAAATAGCCTAGCTTGGCAACATAAAACGTTGGCAACCTTATGTTGTTCTCTTTCTAGTTTTTTTTTTTTCCCCAAACTGATTCATGAAATACAAAACTCTGTTAAGCGCTGGCTTAGGACATGTGCAGGAGGTGCCAACTCTCGTTCTGCGTCTGTGGAAAACTCCCTTCTAACCTGCTGCTAAGTATTTGTTCCTTTTGTTTTACAATTTTTGGTATTCACTTCTTATTTTCCAGGTTTATTCTTAAAGAAAAAGGAATCCCATGCCCCCGCATTCACATTTTATATGTTTGGCTTCTTTATTTTGTTTTAACATGAAAAAGCAGTAGTAAAATTTATCCCTCGTTCTTTAATAAAACAGCATGTCAGCAGAACAGGTCCGGGAAATGGGCCCTCCCAAGATCTTTTATAGTCTGACTTCAAAATTAAATTGTGATGTTGAGAACATCTGGGGCACTCTCTTCTCTGTCTCCCTCCGAGGTTTCGAAGGGATATTCGTTTGTTTTGTATTTGTGTATTTGGGGTAGGATGGGGAGTCGAGTCGGGAGCTGGGTTTTGTTTTTTTTTTTTCCTTTAAGGGAAAAGAGAAAACCAGATATTTTCAAGGGAATTGACTACTAGTGGCCAGTATAACAAAGAAACCCCACTAAGTCTAACCACAACCTGACAGAATGAAAAGTGATTCCCGGGCTGCCACTCACCACAAATCCCCAGGAAGCATGCCAGGAAACCAGCTGAAAGCAGGAGAGAGGCTGCTTCTGGAGGGCCACGAACGTGGCCCCCAGAGAATCTCCCAGTCCCATTCAAATTCAAAGTGATCAGACAGGGGAGGGCTGGAAACTGGAGACAGAATTAGCAGGCCTGTGATCACTTTCAGGGTTATGATGGAACTGATTTAAAATGCAAAACCACATTCCATTGTAAACACAGAGACAAACTGGAGGCAGAGAGGAAATAGGATTTCATCTGGTGATTTTCAGTTTTAGGATTGAAATGGGGACGGGAAGAACAACGCTATTTATTTTTTCTAGAACTGAGATGGCCTGTTCTTTTTTGCAGGATAAGTGAATGTAGACTGATATATTACTTCTTCGGGCTTCGATGCTAATAAGGCATACTTCCCACAGAATGTGACAGAAAGGATGAATACCTTGCCCTGCTAATGGTTAATTTGTAGTGGCATGTGTATTTCTTGACTGTTCATGAAGTTTTCTAATTCATCAGCACACAATTGGGCTTTTTTTCTTCCTTTAAACAGAATGAAATGCCAAGAGGGCAAGAGGTTTGGGGTGTTGTATTTATCCCTCCACCAGCGTCTTTACAATCCAAAAGTTTGGGCTAATTTTCTTCTACCTCAGGAACAAAATTGTTCCTCCGCAAATAATTTAGTACTGACCACACTTTAAAATGTTTATTGCTGTTGAATCTGTCACAGATTGCATCAAGCCGCAGAGATGCTAATCTATCTCATGTATTTGAAACTCCTCTGGGAAGCATATATTTGGGCTTACTGCTGAGTGAACATGACTGCTAGGATTATGGAGACCATACATAGTGAAGAAAAGCAGCATCGCTTTTCTGACTGGAAAGTAAACAATAGGGCGATTGTCAGCTTACACATTGGGGCCAACAGCCCTACTGCTGAGGGGCTGTATGTAAAAACCAGGATCAGCAAGCGGTCTTGATGTTTTCTTCATGGAGTTGGTTGTTGTCAAGGATTCCGATGAGCCACCCCAGTGAGTATGCAGGAAACAAAACAGGATATTCTCGTTTAAGGGCTGCTTTCTGTAATTATGTTGATTTTTTATGCAACACTTGAACTTTTAAAAACTCAAGGATGCATAAGAAGTACTCCAGAGGAGAATAAATAATTGGGATTTTTGTCTTAAGTGAAATGTTATCGTGCGTGCTTAACAGAATTAACTTGTTTGTATTCGTGATTGGGTCTATGAATTAAGTATACTTAGTACATGCCTGTTTTGTCTCCACCCACTCCCCAATCCAAGCATCACCACCCCCCACTATCTTCAGCCCACTTTGAAACAGGAGGTCAAGTTGTCTTTGGAACATCATATTTCCTGCTTGGAAAAGGCACTGGATTGTGTAATAGTCTGACAGGAAAGTTTCAAGAGTACCAGGAGTTTCCCCTGGAAGGCTAGAGGGGGGATCTGTGAACTTCTTTCCTCTGAGCTATCATGAGATGTTCTATTGTTAAGTACACAAAGTCTTCAGGATGGCAAGTGCTAAATGAAACTGTAAATACCCTGAGGAAAAATGTCTTTGAAAATAGGTACTCTGGGTTGCTTAGGACATTGTACTTTTATCTGTCCTTCCTTGCTGAGGAAGGAACATCTGGCTCAGTGACTTGCTG